CCCGAATCAGAAGGAGAGGAAATGAGGATTGCAGGGCAAGAGGGGAAAAGAAAACACACACACTCACACACACAAAAAAACCCCCAGCGAAAACTAGTGTCCGGATTTGTAGTTGCCTTTCTCTCCCTCTACTACCAGCCTTCCACTTCTCCTTTTGTGGGGAAAAAAATTAAGAAACCCACCAGCTGACCGTCATCATTAGCGGTACATACACATTTTGAGAGAAATCACAGGCTGTGCTCAATCAGATGCACACTTGGGTTTCTTTAAGACAGGCCAGTAGCCGCCGCCACCACCACATCCTTTCTCTCCGTGTATCTACGCGTGTGTGCGTATGCGTGTCTGAGGAGCTGCACTTTTCTCGATGCAGTTTAATTCCAGTTCGCTTTTCTCTCCAGAGAAAGAGAAACCGAGAGGGAGCAAAAAAAAAAAAAAAAAAAAAAAAAAAAAAAAAAAGCGGGGGGGGAGAGAAAAGGCGCACCACATACACACACACACACACACACACACAATCTCTTAGTCTCTTGCTAAAAGGGAAACAGTCTCTGTATTCACAGGGCTGCGCTGTCAAGTGCCTCTCTTTTCTTTCTATTCAGCATCTCCTTCCAATGACACTGCCGCCTAGTCCTCTTCATTTAGGGGAGGGGAAAAAAAAAAAAAAAAGAAAGAGGAAAAACAATCCTGGCAATGAATAAAGTGGGAGATCTTTTAATCGATTTATTCGCTTATATTAAAACCTATGCAGCTCCGCGATTGGTGTGATGCATTTTTTTTGCAGTCCTTTCAAGCTTTACCAGTCTCTCTGGGCGTCGCGGTAGAGGGGAGAAGAGCGGCAACAACGCCAGATGCGTTCCCCCTCTCTGATATACCTTTCCCAGCGATATGGTGTATAGGTAAATACTGGGGAAGGGTAAGTAAATTTTATTTCAGGTTCTTTTAACAACCAGAAATAAATGAATGGCACATCCAGAAATGCAGGTGTTTCAATCTGCTGGATGAGTCAGATCCAGCGGAACAAATCACATTCACTATCGCCTCATGTTCCTCCCTTCACAGACATTAGTTGCAGCTTCTTCCTAACGCTTCTCTGACTCACTCTATAGACAGGAAAAAAAATTAATCAGATTTATATTTTGAGGGGAGAGAGGGGGGAGAAGAAAAAAAAAAGAAGGGGGGAAGGGGGGGGTGTTGGATCCAGCTACACTTTTACTATACCTCTTTCTCCGGGAGACTGAGGATCAGGAAAACAAGGCTGTTATCCACTCACTGGCACAGAGGCGCGTCTGTCTCCTGCTTTGCTGAGTGTTTTTAACCACCTTTCCTCAGTGTTATGTGTGAAATAAATCAGAGATCTTTCATATTAAAAGAAAAACAAAAAAAAGAAAAATCAACAAAAACATAGGTTCCCAATACATAGCTCACAGATCTAGTTCCGAGTCTCAGTTCTGCACTGTTTTGGTTTTTTTTTCTCCTTTATTTGAGTCCGGACCCAAAGTACACAGTTAATTCTGCAACCTGTGGTAGAGAGGCTTTCGAAAGAAAAAAGAAGAAGGGGGAAAAAAAGAAAAAGTATTCTTCTCTGCCTCATTGATGGGTGGCCCCTTTCAAACAGACGGTCGCCAGTCTTAGCCAGACAGCACGCGAAAGGAACGCCGATGCCCGATAAACCAGATCCATGTCACCAGCCGCCCGCGGGGAAGTGGAGAATTCGG